TGCCAAGTCCCGCACTTTGCGCTTGTACTCCAGCTCCTGCTTCTCAGAGGCTGTCAGCTCCAACTCTGAGAAGAGGTACTCCTCATCTTTAATCTCCGCCTCCAGGTCCTCTATCTTGTCCTTCTCCCGCTTGGCCAAGTATTCTCGGCGAGACTTCTTACGCAGCTCTGGAATCTGCCAAGATACACGTGGATAAGATGAGCAGAGGGGATTTTTAAAAAATCATAGTCCCAAACTCTAGCTGTAAATGGGATCTACTAGGTTTTTTAATACCGGCCACCAAGTAAGGGAAGAATGACACTTCCTTCCTGTTTAGTAGCTGCCTAGCCTTCCCAAATTGCCCCGTGACAAGTAGCTATATGCAGGCAGAATTTATTTACAATATTCGATCTGTTCACAATATTTATATCTCAGCTCTTTGCACGAGTTTCTGTAACTCACAAAGTGATAAAAACAGAACATCTTATAAAAATATCAAAACTGAAAAAAGTACACATAACAGCAGTTAAAACAACATGAGATGAAACCATCCTGAAAGCGGTAGAGCATAATACCTTCAAAATAGATACAACGGTACAGGCATAAAAATGGAACAACTAAAAGCTCCAGTGAAGGGGAATTCTAAATGGCTTGAAACAATCAAAATGTCCTCACAGGGTACTAAAAGACTATAAGTTTGGCATCGAAGGGGGTTTCAAATCCTAGGTACCACAACTGAGAAGGTCCTATCTCTAACCTCTGAATGTGGAAGCACACATAGGAGGGCTTCTGGTGATGATCTTAAGCAGTGGGCAGGTCCATTAGGGGAGAAGGCACTCTCCTTCAAGTACCCTTGTCCCAGACCATCTTACAGTTTTAGAGATGGAGACAGTAATGAGCACTTTGAATTGTGCTTGGAAGCAAACTGCCAGTCAGTTATGGATCTTTCAAGACTGAAGAAGGCTATTAGCCTTCCAGACAAGTAGTAAAATTTATTTTGAATACTGTAAGTGGATACTCCTTTTACTCCAGTACACACACAGAGTATCGTTCAGTGAACAAGACTAACTGTCTAACCCCCAAAAAAGCAAAGAAAGAGAACTGGTTGGACAACCAGAGACACAAACAGGACTGCAGAGAGAATTCTAGAGAGAAAATTATTGAATGAGCGCAAATTTACATCATATAGATAAAAATGGAGCTCTCACCATGGATTTCTTGTCATCTTCTGCCATTTTCAGACGCTTTTGAGCCTCTTTGTAGGCCTAATCTCAGCATGACAGGAAAACAAAACGTATAAACATGTAATCCAGCTAAAGCAGATAATGCCTCAAACTCCTTATCACCAAACTTTGGAAGCAAGACTAACCAAGACTAATGTGTCCATGCACCATGGATATCAGAAGGAAACCAAATACAGAACCCTCCCCCTGCACTGCAAGGATCTCGAGCAGAATAATGAGATACACATGCAAAGCTCTAGAAAGTTATTAGGTACCAGTATAACTTATAATGCAAAGCTCCTATAATAATACAACCAGCCCAAAAAGAATAGCTGCTGACATGAAACAGCCTTGAGGGAGGGAAGAGAGGAAACAGAGGAACACAAGCCAAGGAGAATGAGCAGGCAGAAGCAAGGCTGTTTGCAGGCCAGCTGAGATTGTACCTTCTTGTCTGAGCGCTCCAGGATGTTGCGAGTCTTCTCCTTGTCCTTGCGCTTGATGCGTTCAGCAAAGGCATCACGCTCCTCCAGATCCTGCAGCCGCTCTCGCTCGCTCCGATCCCACTCGTCTTCCGAATCCTCTTTCTTGGGGGATGCTGCTGGTTTCCTGCACCAAAGAGAACAAGTCAGGCTCCTGAGGCTTCCCTTGCCCCTCCCCACTCCCTGCAAAGAATCAATACTCACTGCTCTCCATCGCTACTGCTGACTCTCCCGTCGGAGTCTTTGTCATCGTCCTCCTTACGCCGCCGCAGGTGCTTGTGCCGCTTCCGCTGCTTCCCCTCATGGCCACGTGAGGGACGCCGGCTCTTCAAGTCCTGGGCTCCTGTTGCCTCGCCAGCCTCTTCATCGTCACTGTCCTCCAGCAGGGTGTACGAGCGGTTCTTCTGCTGCAAGGCCAAGGCCTCCTGCTCAGCTGCCCTAGCCGGACGCTCCCGTGGGGCCTGGTGGGGAACCTGCCCAGAAGTTAATGGAAGGAACAGATTAGACGTTCACAGCACCCAACTCAAGCCACCTGCACTTTACCAGCTTCCTTGGGCACCTGTCCCTTACTCCTCAGGCACATCCACCTTCAAAGGTTCAGCTCATACTTGCTTGTCCTTTCCTGACCTCCTCATCTCTCATCTGTGCCCAACCTTAATGCCACCTTACATCCACCCCTGTCGAGGTGCAACTGCATCTGGCCCCTGAATCAATTTTATCTGCTCCTTCAGCAGGGACTGTTCTGTGCCGTGACATCACTTTTTCCAGCTGCGTATGGAACAGAGACACACTTTAGCCCACGTGCTCCAAACTGGCTTGTTTGTAAATACACTGTTTTAGTTGTAAGCCACCTCTAGCAAGCTTCTGAAGAGGCAACATTCGTTGTATTATGGCCAGGATTAATTTGTTCTTGGTTAAGAACATAAGAGACGCCAATGTTGGATCAGGCCAAAGGCCCATCCAGTCCAACACTCTGTGTCACACAGTGGCCAGAAATACCAGTTGCCATCAGGAGGTGCACCAGTGGGGCCAGGACATTAGAAACTCTCCCACTGTTGCCCCCCCCCCCAAGCACCAAGAAGACAGAGCATCACTTTCCCCAGAGCCCCTATCTATACCTTGTGGCTAATAGCCACTGATGGACCTCTGCTCCATATGCTTATCTAATTCCCTTTTGAAGCCGTCCATGCTTGTAGCCGCCACCACTTCCTGTGGCAGTGAATTCCATGTGTTAATCACTCTTTGAATGAAGAAGTACTTCCTTTTATCCGTTCTAACCCGACCGCTCAGCAATTCAAATTTCATCTCTACCAGGAACCCACTCTTCTGAGATAAACTACACTTCTCAAACTCAGCCCTGCCCCTTTCCCCATCCACAATCTGAGACAGTAACACTAGTTCAGTTTAACAGACCAGGACATTACAAAGCACTGACATAATGTACAAACACATACACAAACCATACACAAACCACACACAAAGAAACAAAAGAAACAAAAGAGTCTATACTAGCACACTGAAGATGAATACATTGCTTGCGGCAGAAACTCTCACAAAAGAAAAGGAGATTGGATTTATACCCTGTCCTTCACTTGGAGTCTCAGAGCAGTTTACAATCTCCCTTTCCTTCACCTTCCCACAACAGACACCCTGTGAGGTAGGTGGGGGCTGAGAGAGCTCTGAGAGAACTGCTTTTGAGAGAACAGCTCTCTTGTGACTGGCCCAAAGTCACCCAGCTAGCTGCATGTGCAGGAGTGGGGAATCAAACCTGGTTCTCCAGATTAGAGTTCACCACTCTTAACCACTACACCCAACTGGTTCTTGTTCATTACGTTCATTTGCCAGAAGGCCCAGCTTCCTAGCTCACAGGAGCACAGCATTATTTTCCAGAGCAGAGAAGACAAGGAGATGCAATCAAAAATGTAAACAATCAAATCTGAGTGGATGCAGAGCATTTGAAAATGGTGATAAATTAGCAGGGTAGGGTGAATCTCAATAGACTGCATAAATGTGAAAGGAGGGGGAGCTACTTGCTGTACTTAGTTGACCACCCCAACAGTGCAATCCCATGCAGGAATGTTACTCAAGGCTGGCTCAAATATTTGTGTATTATATGGATAGGTGTGCACGTGTACAAAAACAGATGACAATATGTAAAGCATCTGAAGACGTGAGCAGCAGTGACTCATGAAAGCTCATACCTTGCCACAGATTTTTGTTAGTCTTTAAGGTGCTACTTTAAGGTTCTCTCTTTTCTATTGCTAAAGACAGACTAACATGCCTACCTATCTTGAACGATGTCTTTTCTGTGTACAAGTTTTACGAACACATAATGGTGTGATGCCAGAATATTACATACAAGTCCTTTCCCAGCATTCCACTTTGTGTACATTATCACACACTCTTTATCTATACCTACAGACACATATTATAAAATTTGTGCATACCGATATTCAGTAGCCGCCCCTCCCCCCGTTAAGTGCCCCGCCACATTCTCCCTAACTACGTCCAGGTCTCGCGCCCAGCGGTCAAGCTTCCTCACCCGTTCCCAAAGTTGCTGAGCGAAGGCTCGCGCGGAAGGGTCTGACACCCGCAGCGTCTCGGTCTCCTCAAGGCGAGCCAGCAAATCATCCGCGGTGCGGCTGCGCTGGGCGAGGCCCACTAGAAAGGCTACCACATGACGTTCACTGAGGCCCAGCAGGGTATGCAGCTGCCCGGACACCCAGCGCTCCAATTCGCTTGCCATGGTTGAGGGGGACAAAATCGCCCCCCAAACGGCTTCTTCCGGTCGCCGTTGCAGCTGCTCTTTCGTGTTCGTGATTCTCCTAGCCAATCAGAGCTCACGGAAAGAATAAGTTCCGGTGTTGGAGACCAACCATAGACACAGGGAAAGGACGGGTTTCGGATTCTTATCTCACAGGCATAAGGCGCGAGATAGGTTTACGATAGAGAAGTGAAAGGCTAGAGTGTCACGTAGCTTGAGTTTCCGGCGGTAAGGGGAGGTCCTTGGCTACTTTCTTGTATGCATGCTTTATGCCTTGGTGTGGCGAAAGATCCTGCGTGTTTTGTATAAGAAGTAGAGTGGACAGCCGGCTTGACTTTAGACTCTTCAGTACTGGAAAGGCGGGTGTGTGGAGTTTTGACTCTTCCACGGTACGTGTTTAAATAATCTGAGCCTGCCGGTCTGGCTGTGGCTATGCATTGTAATCGTCAGGACAGAGCCGCAATTTTTCATTATAAATACAGAAATACCTATCGTGATAGTTGTATGTGCCTCTCTTGCTGTGGGTGGCACTAAAATATTTGGTTTGTATTAGCAGGAAGAAGCGGACACAGTCTGCATCGCTGCATATTTACTGGGAGTAACGAGTTTTATTCAGTGGGATTTACTCTGAAGTAAGTTCGCATGTGACTCTAGCTTTCCCGCACTACCACGTGTATCGTCCAAAACTGGAAAGGTTGCACACTGTCTTATGTATATGGTAGAACGGATTTAGAGTCTAGTGGCACCTTTAAGACTAACAAAGGTTTATTCAAGGTATGAGCTTTGGTGTGCAAGGCACACTTTTTCAAATACATTGGAATGGTATTTGAAAAAGTGTGCCTTGCACACGAAAGCTTATACCTTGAATAAACCTTTGTTGCTCTTAAAGGTGTCACTGGACTCTAAATTTATTCCACTGCTAAAGACCAATACGGCTGACCATCTGGATTTATGTATATGGTGTATGTTTGGATTTTGCTTTGGGCCAATGTGGTTACCTGCAACCCAGGCCTACCAAAGCCCTTTTCTTTAGGGATTTATGATTTTGTCAGCCTTCCCAGGAACTTCCAAGGCAGATTACTATTCCCCCTTAATGCAGAAGAAAAGGTCTGTATGAGAAATTTTCACAATTAAGTCAATTCTCCATACAAAGCTAGATGCTTGCTTGATCAAGGTACATTAACTGAAATGGGCCCATCTGTACAAATATAATCCTCACATAGTGTAAAGAAGTACAAAAGAAGCGTTTCCCTCATCATTGCCTCTCCATGGTGGGAAAAGTTTGCTGTTTGTATTTCTAGCCATTATGTAGCCATCAAACTCCCAAAACTAAAGGCAGTAAATCCAACACAGCTTCTAAACGGAGCCAGTAAGAGGTGCTCAGCTGTTTTTCTGACACGCTCCTGTGCCTTTAACAACTATTAATATGGTGCTTTTTTCCAAGCTATTTGATGGCTGGAACAGCATTTGGTTATTCATAAGAACATAAGAAGAGACTTGCTGGATCAGACCAGTGGTCCATCTAGTCCAGCATCCTGTCTCACACAGTGGCCAACCAGTTCCTCTGGACAGCCAACGACAGGGCATAGAGGTCAAGGCCTTCTCCTGATGTTGCCTTCTGGCTCTGGCTTAGTACCTCTGAATGTGGAGGTTCTCCTCAGTCACCATGGCTAGTAGTCATTGATAGATTTATCCTCCATTAATCTATTACATCCCCCTTTAAGCTTTTTATTCCTGTGGCCATCACTACATCCTCTGGCAGCAAATTCCACATTTTAATCACTCTCTGTGTAAAGTAGTATTTCCTTTTTCCCATCCTGAACCTACTGCCTGTCAGTTTCATTTAATGCCCTTAAGTTCTAGTATTTTGGGAGAGGGAGAAAAAATTCTTTTTGCCAACTCTTTCCATTCCAAGAATAATTTTATAAACTTCTATCATGTCCTCCTTTAGTTGTCTCTTCTAAACTGTAAAGTCCCAGATACTTGTTCTCCAACCCCCTAATAATTTTGGTTGCCCTCCTCTGTACTTGTTCCAGCTTTGCAATGTCCTTTGTTCCTTTTGGAGATATGGTGACCAGAACTGTACACAGTATTGCAAATGAGGCCACACCATAGATCTATACAGGGGCATTACGATATCATCCGTTTTATTCTCAATCCCTTTCCTAATCCCTAACATAGAGTTTGCCTTTTTCATCGATACAGCACACTGGGTTGACACTTTTGTGGGCACTCAATTAAATTGCTGAGTGGTCGGGTTAGAACGGATAAAAGGAAGTACTTCTTCACCCAAAGAGTGATTAACACATGGAATTCACTGCCACAGGAAGTGGTGGCGGCTACAAGCATGGACGGCTTCAAAAGGGAATTAGATAAGCATATGGAGCAGAGGTCCATCAGTGGCTATTAGCCACAAGGTATAGATAGGGGCTCTGGGGCAAGTGATGCTCTGTCATCTTGGTGCTTGGGGGGGGGGTCAACAGTGGGAGGGCTTCTAATGTCCTGGCCCCACTGGTGGACCTCCTGATGGCACCTGGTATTTCTGACCACTGTGTGACACAGAGTGTTGGACTGGATGGGCCTTTGGCTTGATCCAACATTGGTGTCTCTTATGTTCTTATGTTTCATTGAGCTATCCACTACGACCCCCTCAAATCCTTTCCCCTGTCTCAGCAAGTTCAGATCCCATTAGCCTATACTTGAAGTTGGGATTTTTTGTCCCAATGTGCATCACCTTACACTTACCAACAATGAACTTCATTTGCCACATAGTAGCCCACTCACCCAGGTTGTGGAGGTCCTTTTGGAGTTCTTCACAGCCAGCCTTGGTTTTCATGATCCTGAATAATTTTGTGTCATTTACGAACTTGGCCACTATACTACTTAGCCCTAGTTCCAAATGACTGATGAATACATTAAATAGTACTGGCCCCAGTACCGATCCTTGTGAGACCCCACAGCTTACTTCCTTCCATTGTGAGAAGTGTCCGTTGATTCCTACTCTTTGCTTCCCATCATTTAACCAGTTTTTAATCCATAGGAGAACCCATCCTCTTATCCCATGACTGCTAAGTTTACTCAGGAATCTTTGGTGAGGTACCGTGTCAAATGCCTTTTGAAAGTTCAAGTATATAATATCTACTGGGTCACTGCCTGTTCAGTTTCTCGGGGAACTTCAAAAGGTTGGTGAGGCAGGACCTTTGCAGAAGCTATGTTGATTTTTTCCTCAGCAGGCTTTGTTCCTCTATGTGCCTAACAATTCTATTTTTGATTACAGTTTATACTAATTTGCCTGGGACTGGTGATAGGCTGACTGGCCTGTAATTTCCTGGTTCGCCTCTGGATCCCTTTCGAAAAATTGGTGGCACATTTGCTACTCTCCAGTCTTCTGGTACAGCGGCTGAATTTAGTGATAGGTTACCTATATGGGTTAGTAGATCAACTATCTCACAACTGAGTTCCCTAAGTACTCTCAGTGTATGCCATCAAGACCTGGAGACTTATCAGTTTTTAATATACCCAGTAGGTTTAGAATTTCATCACTGGTCACCTCAATTTGGCTCAGTTCTTCAGACTCCCTTCCTGAAAATAGGGTCTGTGGCATGCATACATGTCCCCCACTTTCCACAAGGGACACAGAAGGCACAGGAGCCTATCAGGAAAGCATTTGGCATCCTCTAACTGCAGGAACTGGGGACTGAACCTGGGACCTTTTGCATCTGAAGCAGGTGCTCTGCCACTGAGCCAGGGCCCCTCCCTGATGTTCTGTTGAACATTTGTTCTCTTCTTGTGGCAAACTATGGTTGAAGACTGCATGACTTAATTTGTGGGGGACTGAGAGGTGAACACTGTTGTGTTAGCATAAGAGCATAACATAAGAGCCCTGCTGGATCAGACCAGTGGTCCTTCTCATCCAGCATCCTGTCTCACACAGTGGCCAACCTGTTTCTCTGGAGGTCCAGCAATACAGCATAGAGGATGAGGCTTGTGCTGATGTTGCTTCCTGGCTCTGGGATTCAAAGGTTTACTGTCTGTGAACGCTGAGTTTTCCTTTAGTCACCATGGCTAGTAGTAACTAATAGATGTATCCTCCATGAGTCTGTCTAATCCCCCTTTAAAGCTGTCTATGCCTGTGCCCATCGCTACATCTCTGGCAGCGAATTCCACATTTTAATCATTTGCTTTGTAAAGAATTATTTCCTTTTGTCGATCCTGAATCTACTCCCCATCAGCTTCATTCACTGCCCTTGACTTCTAGTATTTTGGGAGAGGGAGAAAAAGTTCTGTTAGCTCTCTCCACCCTGTGCATAATTTTATAAACCTCTATCCTATGACACACACACCCTGTGTTGTCTCTTTTTTAAATTCAAGAGTCCCAGATTCTTCAGCCTTTCCTCATAGGGAAGGTGCTCTAATCCTTTAATCATTCTGATTGCCCTCTTCTGTACTTTTTTCAGCTCTGCAATGTCCTTTTTGAAATACAGTGACCAGAACTGCACACAGTACTCCAAAGGAGGCTGCACTATAGATCTATACAGGGGCATCATAACATTGGCCATTTTGTTTTCAGTCCCTTTCTTAATAATACCCAATATAGAGTTTGCCCTTTTCACTGCTGCAGCACATTAGATTGACACTTTCATTATGCTATCTACTACAACCCCAAGTTCTTTTTTCCTCTCAGTCTCAGCAAGTTTAGACTTCATTAGCCTTTACCAGAAGCTGGGATTTTTTGTTCCAATTTGCATCACCTTACATCTACCACCATTGCACTTTTGCCACATTGCTGCCCACTCACCCAGTTTGTGGAGTCATCCTTGGTTTTCAACATCCTGAATAACTTTGTGTCATCTGCAAATCTGGCCATTTGACTACTCACCCCTAAATAAGGATCATTCATAAAGATCATTAATAAATAAAATACTGATTCTTGTGGGACCTCACTGCTTACTTCCCTGCACTGTGAGAACTGCTCATTTCCCCCCTTCTCTTTGCTTCCAATCATCTAACCCATTTTTAATCCTTAAGGGAACCCGTCTTCTTTCCCAGTTTTTAATCCTTAAGAGAACCTGTCCTCTTTGGTGAGATACCTTATCAAAAGCCTTTTGAAAGTCGAAGTATATAATGTCTACTTGGTCAACATTTTCTACATGCTTGTTCAGTTTCTCAAAGAACTCCAAAAGGCTGGTGAGGCAGGACTTTTTGACTCAGTACTGGGTTAGACTCCCTTCCTGAAAATAGTGGCTGTGGCATGGGTACAAGCCCCACACTTTTCACAGTGAATACAGAAGCAAAGAATTAATTGAGCATCTCTGCCATCTCCCTGTCATCCTTTAGCAGTCCCTTTATTCTTTGCTCATTGCTTCTCTGGCTGGTTTCCTGCTCCAGATATATTTAAATGAATGTTTACTGTTTTTCTTGATGCTTCTAGCAACCTGCTTCTCAAATTCACTGTTTGCATGCCTGATTATCGACTGACATTTCTTTTGCCAGAGCCTGTGGTCCGTTTCATTCAATTTACTGGGGCAGACCTTTCACTTTTTAAAAGAAGCCTCTTTACTTTTCATAGCTTCCTTGACTTCTGTTGTTAACCATGCTGGCATTCTTTAGACTTGGCAGTGGCTTTCCTAGCCTGTGAAATGCATTCTATCTGGGCCTCAATTAGTGTAGTTTTAAGTAGCTTCCAGGCATCCTCTAGGGATTTGACTCTCTTGTGTTTCCCTTTCAGCTTCCTTTTAACTATTTCCCTCATTTTTGTAAGGTTCCCTCTTTTGAAATAAAAAGTCACAGTTTTGGACTTCAGGGGGTAATTTTCCATTGATTAAATAGCATTGTGGTCACTGTTTCTAACTGGTGCAGCAACGTCTGCATCTCTCAGCAGGTCTTGAGCCTGGCTCATAACCAAGTCCAGGATTACCACCCCTCTCGTTGGTTCTGTGACCAACTGTTCCAGTGCACAGTCTTTGAGTGTTGAAGCAGGATATGGCCTTTTGGCCCTTCTGTGGTTTCACAACTCAAGAGAGGTTGCTCTTCCCCCTTGGCAGAGTGCTGTAAAGACAATGAATAAAGATAAAAGCACTCCTCAGGCACACCAAAGTTAACGTATTTAGTTCCCGGCAGTGAGTACAGACGCCTCTCGGAGCTGCACAGGTGAACTGCTGAAGGCAACAATCTTCTGTTGTTTCCTCCTAGCATCTTACATTCAAAGGCATATTGTCTCTGCTCATGGAAGTCTGTTTGGCTATCATGGCTGATACAACACAGCAGACAAGGTGAATCAGCGTGCAACATCATTCTGATTTATTGTTATTATTAATAATAATAATATATATAAAAAAACACTGATGGAAATGGCTGGACACAGCTGCTTCAGCCCTCCCCTCACGTACACTGATCCGGGCAAGGCTCCATTCTGCCTCTGTAAGAGGACGAGATGTCTGCCATGCCCAGTCATTCTCTCGCTGACTTGTTCCCGGGCTGTAGGCACGGCTGTTCCCACAGTGCAAAAGAAGGGGGGGGGAAGATAATAAAAACTGTGCACAGGTAACAAGATAAATTAGTAAGGAAGGAAAGAGGGAAGAAACACACCGTTTTCTTTGTGCCTTCCCCTCTGCACTTCCTTCATCCGCTCACTCATGCTTCTTGCTCGGTCCACACTCTGCCCCCCACATTTTGACTAACCCCTGGTGCTCCTACAGTCACAACTCTCTCCTCTCATACATTCATCGCTCCTCCGTCCTCACAGTCTGCGTCCGCTCTCACACCCTTTTCCCACAAGCCATCGAACACAAGTTTTCCACAAGACACGTATGTTTCATAGGTGGGGGGATTCCCGGATAGGCGTTTAAGAAACACTGCCCCTTGGATCTGACCTTTCCAGCGTGGTTGTGTGTTTTCAGCAGAACGAGAGTCGCACGCGTGGAGGGGTGGCTGACAGGGCTCTGATCCCAGCAGAAGGATGGGGTGAGGTTGTTCGAAGAAACTGAGTACCACCTTCAGATGATAGCACCACATGACCTGGTTTTAGTCATGACCAAGCTTGCCACTGCCTATTGGCCTATTTGCCCCTACACCTCCAGAACACTGTTCTGTTCGCCAGGGGCTGGGCTTGAGTCATTGGCACAGAGGAATCTGAGCTGTTCCCGCCATTGGTTGAATGCACTGTCTTGTCCGAGAGTCCTCAAAGTCCTGAATGTCAGTATTTCCAGTTGTTGTGACTGCTGTGCATGCTGACATTTTTTTTAAAAGCCTTCTCTAAATTACTCTCTTTGCCCCCTCCCTACTTCAGAATGCCATGCTGTGAGGAATGGTTAACATTCATTTACAGTGAATGATCATTTTTTTTAAAAAGTATGTCAAGATACCAGTCCATTTTCTAACATTCAACCTGCCTCTGCTTATCCATTCAGTCCCACCCTCTCCTTCGTGCCCACTTGTCCAATCCTGTTTTGAGTTCTGAATGCCAGACAGGAAGTGGGTGGGGCAAAGACCACTTGGTTGTTTGCCGTCTCCACACCCAGCTGCCTCCCTTTCTTGACTTCTAAACACAAGTTTTGTAGTCCATGTTTGCCCACTTCTATGCCTTAATACCAACTGTTACTTGGTTGTAACAACCCAGATAGCCATACCATTTGGAATTTCCTTGTTCCAGAACGGCATTTTAAAAAGACTGTTAGAAATACCCCGTCCACCATCCTTGGTACAGATCCGTCCCCAATACTGATAGGTTGTTGGCCACCAAAATTGCCCCCCCTCCCAAAGCTAGTCCCTCCCTCCTCCCTCCAACTTCCCTCCCACAACATGGCAGCAATTAGAAAACTTTAAAATAACAGGAGTCCTAAAGGATAACTCCCAGATATTTTGCAAAAAAAGGAGGTTGATCTGGGGATTAGAAACATCCCTCCGCCCAGTGTGGGCTGTGTTTGGGAGATAGCAAGGAGAGATCAGCCCTTGGCTGGGGATCGCCTGCAACGCTGGAGGCCGGCAGACGGGCATGAGGTTTGCTGCTCTGCCCTGCTGGCTGTTTTAATGTCTTTGTTTCTAAGTTGCTTTAACATCAGGATAAGGAAAAAAAAAAGATTTCCTTTCAGTCAAAACCATGTGGATGCAGTCTCTTTGTACAGGTTAGATTGGGCAGCCTGTCACGTGACCCAGATCCTTGCTGTTTAGATTTCGGGTGGGGGGGTTTCTGAGGTCACTTTTTCAGTGCTGGAGTTAAAACAAAAATATAGATGGTGTCTTTCAAATGCTTTTTTCCATCGTAAAGAAAGAAACTCCCAGAGCCCTAGGAAAATGGGCAAAACGGTCCAGTCTGGCATGGTCCCAGCTTCTTTCCCTGGTGTAAGAGTCAGTGGAAGACAAAAGTCCAGTTTGAGGGACTTGAAGGGTGACACGAATCCTTAAATAGCCTCAATTTTTCCCGGTGATGGAGAAGGATGGGTGGGGTTACCACTGACAACACTTATTAGAAAGGGAAGACAGAAAGAAAACAGGAATTATCGGGGTAAAAAGGGGGAGGAAATCATGAATAAGGGAGCCCAAGAGCCCCCTTTAATGCTCTTCTCCAAACGTTAGGTACCAGGATTTCCAAAAGTCATTCTAGCTCTCAAAATGGGCCTCCAGATGGAGCTCCAATATTGGCTTCCAATGGCCATCCTACACAGTTAACCTCTGTAAACCCCATTGAATTCAGTGGATTTAGTAAAGGTTTCCCTTGCTTGAAAGCTAGTCACATCCAACTCTGGGGGGGCGGTGCTCATCTCCGTTTCCAAGCCGAAGAGCCAGCACTGTCCGAAGAATTCTCCATGGTCATGTGGCCGGCATGACTAAACGTCGAGTTGCACAGAACACTGTTACCTTCCCACTATTTTATCTCCTTGCAATTTCTTGCTTTTGAACTGCTAGGTTGGCAGGAGCTGGGGCCAGAGACGGGAGCTCACTCCGTCACGCGGCACTCGGGTCTCGAACTGCCGAACTACAGACTTTCTGGTCTGCAGCTCAGCGCCTTAACTTCTGAGCCAGTGAGTTTAGAAGGGGGTAATTCTTAGGATTGCATTGCAGGGGCCTGTTTGTAAAACAAATAAACAAAACCTCTTTATTTCTAACATTTTGATACACAGCTTCTCTCAGTCTCCACATCCGGACCTGAAGCATGGAGGAGCTGCGGAGAGCACCTGTGTCTGCTCTCTCTGCCTACCGTTCAATGGCGCCACGTGGAGGTCCACATGAGCAGCCACCCTGCCTAGCCCACAGCCCGACTGTCTCCCCCGGAAGCCAGAAGATAAAGAAACGGCGTACTAAGAGGCGAACACCCGGGGCTTGCCCCGTTCCTTCAGGGGCCGCCAATGGGGAACATCCCTTAGACTCCCATCCTGTCCCGACGGTGGTGGATGCTGCAGCAGCGAAGCTAGCAAAGAGACGGAGGATGAAACTGCGCTCTCGTCTTGTGGCTACCTCATCCGGCCCAAGAGTGGCGCTGCAGGAGAACCGTGAACGGAGTCCGATGGCGGGCGAAAGTTGCTCGGCTGCGGCTGCACCACCAGCGGCGGGACAGGAAAAGGAGCGAGCTTCTGCCCAGCAGTTTCAGGCAGGCCCCTCGCTCCGGCACCTCCTTCAGGAGCTGGGGGAGGTCCAGCACAGCCGGGAGAAGGCAGCCAGGCTCTTCGAGTGGCTGATCGCCCCCGTCTCCTCACAGCGGTTCTTCGGCCAGCACTGGGAGAAGAAGCCCCTCCTCATCCGCCGGCGCAACCCGGCTTACTACCAGGGGCTCTTTTCCACGGCCGAGTTTGATGCCGTCCTGCGCGACCAAGAGGTCCAGTTCGGTGTGAACTTGGACGTGACTAGCTACGAAGACGGGAAGAGGGAGACGCACAATCCGCTGGGCAGGGCCCTGCCGGCCGTGGTGTGGGACTTCTACCGGAACGGCTGCTCCCTCAGGATGCTGAACCCCCAGGCCTTTTCTGCCACAGTCTGGCACTTCCTGTCTCTCTTGCAGGAGCAGTTTGGCAGCATGGTCGGAGCCAACACTTACCTGACTCCTGCCGGCACTCAGGGCTTTGCTCCTCATTATGACGACATCGAAGCCTTTGTCGTCCAGCTCGAAGGGAAGAAGCACTGGCGGGTTTACAGCCCTCGGAAAGAAGCGGAGGTGTTGCCCCAGTTTTCAAGCCCCAACTTTGCTCAGGAGGAGATCGGGGAGCCGGTTCTGGAAACCGTATTAGAGGCTGGGGACCTGCTGTATTTTCCACGGGGGTTTATCCATCAAGGGGACTGCCTCCCCGATGCCCATTCACTCCACATAACTGTCTCCTCGTTCCAGAGAAACTCCTGGGGAGACTTGTTGGAAAAACTCCTTCCTGCAGCTTTGCAGATGGCCATTGAGGAGGATGTGGAATACCGCCAGGGTCTCCCTACAGATTACCTGGCATACACAGGAGTCGTGAACTCCGATGTGATTGATCCTCGCAGAACCGCCTTTATGAAAAAGGTCCAGACTTTGATCACTAAACTAATGAACTATGCACCAGTCGACGCTGCGGTGGATCAAAAAGCCAAGGGTTTCTTCCACGACTGCCTCCCTCCAGTGCTGACTGAGACTGAAAAGACGCTCAGTGTATATGGACTTCCTGCCCGGTGGGAGAATGGAGACGTGCGAGACGTCGACGTCCCATTCAGTGAAAATACGCAAGTACGGTTGCTTCGGTATGGAATCGTCAGGCTGTGCAACGAAGGAGACAAAACACTGCTGTATTACACCGCAGAAAATTCAAGGGTGTATCATAAGGAGGAGCCCAAGTACTGTGAAATCGAGCCAGAATATACAGATGGTATTGAATTCTTGCTCTCTTCTTACCCGAAGTATGTCAGTGTGGAAGACCTTCCATGTGTCACCTTGGATGATAAGATTGCTTTAGCCACTGTTTTGTTTGAAAAGGGATTGCTGATTACTAAGAGCCCTCTGTTTTCTGCGTAATGTGTCATGGATGAACAAAATAAATATGTTCTGAATTAACGGGAAAGAAAGAAATGGCCCCGCCCCCCCAAGCTAGTCCCTCCCTCCCCCCTCCAACTCCCCTCCCACAACATGGCAGCGATTAGAAAATTTTAAAATGACAAGGGTCCTAAAGGATTTTACAAAAAAGGTTGATCTGACAAGGATCCTAAAGGATTTTACAAAAAGGTTGATCTGGGAATTAGAAACATCCCTCCACCCAGTGTGGGCTGTGTTTGGGAAACAGCAAGGAGAAATCAGCCCTTGGCTGGGGATCGCCTGCAACGCTGGAGGCCGGCAGACGGGCATGAGGTTTGCTGCTCCGCCCTGCTGGCTGTTTTAACCTCTTTGTTCCTAAGTTGTTTTAGCATCAGGATAAGAAAGAAAAAAAGATTTCCTTTCAGTCAAAACCATGTGGATGCAGTCTCTTTGTACAGGTTAGATTGGGCAGCCTGTCACGTGACCCAGATCCTTGCCATTTAGATTTCGGGTGGGGGAGTTTCTGAGGTCCCTTTTTCAGTGCTAGAGATAGAACAACAATATCGATGAAGGTGTCTTTCAAGCGCTTTCTCCCATCGTGAAGAGAGAAACACCCAGAGCCCTAGGAAAATGGGCAAAACGGTCCAGTCTGGCATGGTCCCAGCTTCTTTCCCTGGTGTAAGAGTCAGTGGAAGACGAAAGGACATAAAAGTCCAGTTGAGGGACTTGAAGGTTGACATGAATCCTTAAATATCCTCCATCTTTCCTGGTGACGGAGAAGGACGGGTGGGGTTACCGCCGACAAGACTCATCTGGGAAGGAAGACAGAAAGAAAACCGGGCTTGTCAGGGTAAAAAGGGGATGGAGGCACTAATAAGCAGGGCCCGCAGCAACAGTGGGGCCTCCTGGGGGGCCTGGCCCCCCAACCTCCTTCCAGGCCCCCCCAGTGACTTCCTACACAGCCCAGGCCCCCCCGACTCTGAGCGCTGCCCAGAGGACTCGCCGCCACTGCCCAGAGGACTCCCCTTTCTCCACCTGCCAGCAGCCCCACTTGTACGAATACACACAATGAAGAACCAGCAGCCCCACGCGGGCCATGGTGGGCAGGCTGCTGGCTGGGGGAGGACGAGGTGCACACAGCAGCAGCGGCTGCTACCCAGACCTGGTCTGCTGCTGCTGTTACCGGGGGAGGGGGCGGAAAGACGGCAGTGACGCTGCTGCCAAGCAGAGGGTGGAGCGTGTGGGGGAGAGCGGAGACGAGGCAGCTGCAGCAGCAGCGCTTCTTCCCGGGATGGCCGCCTGTATGAATATATGCAATGAAAAATGAGCAGCCCTGCCCCACGCAGGCCATGGTGGGCAGGCAGCTGGCCGGGGTAAAACGAGGCGTGCGTAGCGGTGGCTACTACCAGGGCTTGGCCTACGGCTGCTGTTAGGGGGGGGGGGGGGGAGGGGGTGGGGAAAAACAGCAGCACCGCCTCCGCCGAACAGAGTGGAGGAGAGCGGAGACAAAATGAGGCGGGTGCAGCAGCGCTCTGTCCTAGGCCGGCCGCGCTCAGCCTTGGCTGGCTGAAGGGCCTCTTAGTGGGCAAGTGTGCACAGGCGCACTCCTCCACTGCCTCACCTTCCCACCTGCCTTCCGGCCCCTGTAGAAGGGAGAATGGCGTGGGGAAGGAGAGGAGGAGGCCATCAAATGCAGCTATGTGAAAGGGGCACTTAATTTAACTTACTTTAACCAAATCAATTAGGCGTCCCCGAGAAATTTAAAGGCCCCCTCGACACAAGAAATCCTGGCTACGGGCCTGCTAATAAGGAAGCCCAAGAAGCCTACTTGAATGCTCTCCCCAAACCTTAGGTACGAGGATTTCCAAAAGTCACTGCAGTTCTCAAGATGGGCCTCTAGATGGAGCTCCAATATCGGCTTCCAATGGCCCTCCTAAACAATCGACCTTTCTAAACCCCATTGAATTCAGTGGGTTTAGAAGAGGGTGATTCTTAGGATTGCATTGCAAGGGCCTGTTTGTAAAACAAAACTTCTTTATTTCTAACATTTAGATGCACAGCTTTGCTTCAGCTTGACAAGCACAATTCCCACCCATCCCCAGGGCAGTTTCCTGGGATCTACATTTGAATTAGTTTCTACAGCTTTTTCACCAAGGCTTATTTTAATTCCTCATCCTTGTATGCAGACCGTACAGGACAATAACTCTAGTTGGGCAGCAATGCTCCCTCTAAGCTGTGGAGTCTTGTGAGCAAAAATGCTACTTTGTGAGCTCCTGGCATTAAAGCTGTGAGCGAGCGATTTGGCTACTGCATAAATCAGTTTGCTCTGGAGCCATCCTTCCTGAGCTAAGAGAAAAATGTGTGAGCCGGAGGCTAAAAAAACTGAGCTAGCTCACACTAACTCTGCTTAGAGGGAACATTGTTGGGCAGCCGTGTTAGTTCGTTGCATCAAAAATAAAACAGGAGTCAACCGGCACCTTAAAAACTAACACCATTTTACTCTACCATATGCTTTCATGGTCTGGACCCCCACTTCTTCAGATGGTTTGAGTGGATTTTATGGAGGACGTATAAAACAAAAATATATACAATAAATAGTAAATATCTGAAAAGTGTGTTTGGTTTCTTCAGATCCCCTTGCCCAAGAACATATGAAAGAAAAGGCTAACCCAAAACTATTTTCTGTCATGTTTTCCTATCCTCTGCACTCTTAGAAGGGAGATATCGTGGTGCACTGTACCAGGAATGTATATGTTCTTCTGCAAGAGGGGAAGTGGGGCACGTTGTATTGCACTCCCTTTTTAATTGTGATTTTACACATGGTTTCATTACTCCTCCCCAAAATTCCAGGTAGATCGAAGGCATTGTCTATTGCCTTTCTCCTCTTGACCCACGAGCCTCGGATCACGGATAAAGCGGCCAGACTCTCTGCAGCTGTCAGAGCCTTGTATTCATTTGATGAACCACATTGGCCTTCCTCCCTTCCTCCAAGGGGCTCAGGGTTGCAGACATAGTTCTCCCATCTCTGCTTTATCCTCACAACAACCGAAAGAGAGTTGACTGGCCTAAGGTCATAGAATAAGTTTCATGGCAGAGTGGAGATTTGAACCCAGATCTCTGAAGTCCTATTCTGCCACTATGGGTGGTTGTTGTTGTTCAGTCGCACGGTCGAGTCCGACTCTTCGCGACCCCATGGACTAGATCACGCCAGGCCTTCCGGTCTTCCGCCGTCCTCTGAAGTTTGCTCAATTTCATGTTTGTTGCATCTATGACACTGTCTAACCATCTCATCCTTTGCCGTCCCCGTCTTCTTTGACCTTCAATCTTTCCCAGCATCAGGGTCTTCTCCAGTGAGTGCTCCCTTCTCATTTGGCTTATTTCAATATAATTCGCATAACTTCTTAAAGGTATCATTTCTTGTAATGTATTTGCTTTTGGGCTAGTCTTTGACTGGAATAAATCAATTCACTCACTCTGTCACATTCGTTTTGTATGTGTAGGGAATATTTTATGTTGGGGAGCATTCAGACATCTAAAGCCTCCACCTGCTACCAGACACGGTCTGGTCTGGTCTGGTAATTCATGTGAGGCTTCTACTTGGTGTGGTGGTTAAGTGTGCGGACTCTAATCTGGGAGAACTGGGTTTGATTCCCCACTCCTCAACTTGCACCTGCTGGATGACCTTGGGCAAGTCATAGTTCTGTCAGAGCTGTTCTTGAAAAAGAGCAGTTTCTGTCAAGAGCTCTCTCAGCCCCGCCTACCTCACAGGGTGTCTGTTGTGGGGAGGGGAAGGGAAAGGAGTTTGTAAGCCGCTCTGAGACTCCTTTGGGTAGTGAAAGGCGGGGTATAAATCCAATCTCTTCTTCTTCTTCTACTACTTCTCAGTAAGACATGACCGTTTGTCTACCAGGCATTCCCCTCTCTTTCTGGCGGCCAGCTGCCAACTTGTCTTGATTCAATGAGTTTCTAACGGTGCAGTCTTAAGCAGAGTTATACCCTCCTAAGTCCAATAAAGCCAAGGGGCCTAGAAGGGTGTAACTCTGTCAAGGACTTTTGTGAAAATGCCCTAAATTTATTTATTTAATTTATTTTTTGAATTTCTACCCCACCCTCTTGTCCGAAGCTGGCTCAGGGCAGCTTACATAAAATAGATAAGTTACATTAAAACATAAGCTACAATTAAAACAAAATTTAGTCTGAGCGTGTGGGGGGGGGAGCAACGTTCTCGGAATGACCACGATGCTCTCAGGCACACCACGGCGGCAGCTCCGGAGGCTCCCAGGCACTCACCCACGATGAGGGGTTTGGTCCTCAATAGGCCAGGGAGGCCACGATGAAGCATCAGCAGCTCCTCCTCTTCCTCCTCCTCGTCCCCATGGGGGTTGGTAGACACCAAAGTCTCTGACTCCTCAGGGGGGCCGAACTCCTCCAGCAGGGAACCCTCCGATGGGTACTGGAAGGTCCTCTCCAGCTGGTTCTCGCTGAATGAAATCTTCAGCTGCAGGGGAGGAGAGAGATGGTTAGGTCTCCAGTCCAGGAACAGCCACCCACGGCATCGTCTGCTTTCAGTCAGCCCCCCTTCCCCCTTGGCTGCGGAAGGTCAGAACAGTTTCACACTAGGATCTTTTCATTCAGATCGGGTCATCCTGCGATGCAGGTTGTGTGTACTGCCCAAGATCATGGTGCCGTGTTTGTTTGTTTATTCATCCCCCATCTTCTCCCCAACTGAGACCCAAAACGGCTTACGACATCCTCCTCCCTCCCTTCCATTTTTATACACATCATAATCCCGTGAGGTAGGGTGTGCTGTCAAGTGTTCCCTGAAGAGCACTTCGGTCGGGGTCACACCACCAGCTGGTGACCCCAGGCCCTAAGGAGGCCAAGCTGGTGGCAACAAGGGCCAGGTCTTTTTCATTGGCGGCTCCTACCTGGTGGAATGAGCTCCCGGAAGAGATCAGGGCCCTGCGGGACCTGGTGCAGTTCCGCAGGGCCTGCAAGACAGAACTCTTCCGCCAGGCTTACGAGTAGGAGCCGCCGCGGCCACTTACACCAACGCCCTTTTATAGAGAGAGACTGCTAGGGTGGTTGAGTAACATCTTTCATCACCCGGCCTTCCCTCCCTGCTACGCAAAATGTGAGGAGTTTATATACGCATCCGTCTAACTGATTTTAATTTGTTTTAACTTTGTATTATGTATTTGAATACTGAACGCACCTAGTGCCTGTGTGAGCCGCCCTGAGCCCGTTCGCGGGGAGGGTGGGGTATAAATATAATAAAATAAATAAAAAATAAATAAGTTGCAGCTAACATGGCGACCCCTTATGGGGTTTTCGAGGGCTGACCCTGCTTAGCTTCCCCGAGATCTGGTGAGATTGGGCTACCCTGGGCCGCCTAGGTCAGGGGTGCGTGAGGTAGGATAGGTTGGAAGAAAGAGGATGCGGCTCACCCACAGTCATCCAGCAAGCTTAATGACAGACTGGAGATTTGAACCCGAGTCTCCTAGTCTGTTGTCGCCATGGGTCGGAAGTGACATGACGGCACTTCACACACGCGCATACACACACACACACATGCACACACAAACACTCCTAGTCTGGCACCCAAACAACTTCACTATGCTGGTGTAGCAAATTCTACTTTTTCACACATTTTAAAAAGCAAGTTTCTAGCCCTCATGATTGCATAGATATCTGGGGAAATACTAATGAAAAAGCTTAGGGAAATAAAAGGAAAAGATGTCTCTATGCGTGCATGCCATTCCCACTAATCCCGCTTCATCGGTTCACCAAATGTTGGGCGTGGTTCCTACCCATTCTGAATGGATCCTTTGCTCTTTTGACGTTATCACGTGCTCTGCAGTGCAACGGTATAGCACACCCATGTCCTGGGAAGTGGAGCTTCTTTGTAACTCCCCTTCTTGCCCCCTAGCCCAGCCCTTCTGCTTTGTGCATGCAGCTTTGTAGGCATCTCTTTCTCCCAACTGGATGTAATGCATCTGACAGAATGGCCTGTGGCTCACAAAAGCATATGCCGTGATAAATGTATTATAATCTTGGCGGTGCCATGAGATGCTTTTTTGTTTTGGCTTCCACAGACTAATACGGCTACCCCTCTGGAATAAATAGACCAGATCCACTGAATGTGCCCTCTGTTGTTGCACTGTTAGTCATGTGTAACAAACCGAGCGCCCTGGATAAGGCTACAAAGTTCCTGCCTTCATCAAAAGACAAATTCAGCCAGTTCAAAAGGACCCAGATGAACATCGGCGGCGCAGACACATCTGGAATTACACCTGCATCAGTGAGGGTTGCTATTGTATGCCAATCTCTTGTGCTGCATTGCTGTTTTCAGACCAACATGCCTACCCCACCTCAATCTACCCGCTATCTATCTACTAGGGACCCACAACATCGTACAACCAGTGTTCGCTCTAAGGTAAGTTTGTGTGAGCTAGCTCACAGTTTTTAGCCTCCGGCTCACACATTTTTGTCTTCGCTCTCCCCTCCTCTTATTTCCACCACAACTCTGTAAGGTCGGTTCGGCTGAGAGAGAGTGGCCACTCTTCCACTGTACCCAGATCCTTGCGCTGCACTCTTAACTGCTACACCATGCTGGTGATCGAACATTGCAGAAACGATGGGATCCGATAACCCTCGTTATATTTTGGTTGCAAGAAGCTCCCCTGATGTTATTCTGTTTGCCACAGTGGTACCATAAGTGACAGGACTGCCCTTCTTTTATCAGGTTCACGAGAACATAAGCAGAGCCCTGCTGGATCAGAGACCAAAGACCCGTCAAGTCCAGCGTTCTGTTCACACAGTGGCCGGCCAGCTGCCTCTAGGAAGCCCAGGAAGTTTGGTGTAGTGGTTGAGTGCGCGGACTCTAATCTGGGAGAACCAGGTTTGATTCCCTACTCCTCCACTTGCAGCTGCTGGATGACCTTGGGCAAGCCATAGTTCTGTCAGAGCTGTTCTCTCAAGGGCAGCTCTGGAAAGAGCTCTCTCAGCTCCGCCTACCTCACAGGGTGTCTGTTGTGGGGAGGGGAAGGGAAAGGAGTTTGTAAGCCGCTCTGAGACTCTGAGTGAAGGGCGGGGTATAAATCCAATCTCCTCCTCTTCTTCTTCTTATGACTGAAACAGCCTCCTCCCGGCCGTGCTCCTCAGCAGCTGATATAAAGATGCACGCTGCCTTCAAAAGATGGGAAGCGTCATAGCAAAAGGCAAAAGCTCAGGGAAGGCTTAGAATAGCTGGGGGGGGGGGGGGCTGCATATGCCTCAGATCCAGGAAGCCTAAAAATATGTGAGGCTGCATAGCCTTAGCCAGGTAAGCCTGTCTGTCCTGGCCTGCCAGGATATGTCCTTTCTGCTCCCATGCTGAACACACACCCCCTCCCGGCAGTACCCAGGGCGGAAGCCGCAGCAGGAGATAAACCCTGGAGGAAATGAGATTACACTCCTCACCTCTACCTGCCCACAGCTCTGGTGGAAAGAGAGGGGATGACAGAGTGTTCACAAGGACAGGTGCGTCCTCCTGGCCCTGGTGCCTTGGCGCCAATGCTCCCTCTAAGCTGTGGAGTCTTGTGAGCAAAGAATTCTCCACTGTGAGCTACTGGCATTAAAGCTGTGAGTGAGTAATTGGGCTAATGAATCGATTAGTTTGCTCCGGAGCCATCCCTTCCTGAGCTAAGGCAAAAATGTGAGCAGGAGGCTAAAAAACTGTGAGCTAGCTCACACCAACTCAGCTCAGTGGGAACATTGCTTGGAGTGGAGCAAAAGGTGCTCAGAAAGAGCACCTAGGCAAAGTGGGTAGAAGGCCCCCACTGGAAGGATGAGATGATGAGGCACTGGTACCTCTAGGGTGGAGCAGCTGTTGCCAACAGCTGCCCCCACAGTTGCCACTTGCTGGAGCATCAACACTATGCACAAGACACTGCAGGGAACTAACAGAAGTGATGCAACTCCACCCTGCTCAGTGGCTGTTCAATCCATTGTCGGGGGGGGGGAGATCAGGGGGCCGGAAGAGTGGGGAGTGGGTTGAGGGCACTCAGACAGAAGGACTAACGAAGGGCCAGCCGGCTCTCCCTTGGACCCTTTCTACAGAAACGGGGCCTGCTACCACACATCCCTATTCACAGTTGCTCTGACAAGCGGCACCTGTCAAAATCCCCTCTTCTGCACAGAGCCAGGGTGGTGTGGTGTCAAACTAGGACTGGAGTGTTGAACTAGGATGGGAGAGGCCCCCGTTCAAATCCCCACTGTGCCAAGAACCTCACTGGGTGACTTTGGGCTGGTCACATCCAGTGAAAGGAAACGAAGCTGTGCCCTTATGGTTCACCTTATCCGGCAGGGCCGGCCCAACGTGTCTGGCTGTCCTAAGCACACGGTCCGAAGAATTTAACGGGATGATATTTACCCTGATGCCATGAAAAGCTTCAGCTGACCATTTCCACACACAGCCTCTTTTGAAGGGACAGGACATTCCCCCCCCCCTTCCAGGACTTCTGGCAACCAGGGCTATTTTTGGGCAGTAACGCACAGGAACGGAGTTCCGGCTGGCTCCTGAATTGGCCACGCCCAGCAGGAACTCATTAGCATAATAGGCCACACCCAACAGCAGAAACTCATTAGGATTGGCTACATTAGGGGTGTGTGGCCTAACATGCAAAGGAGTTCCTGCTACAAAAAAAGCCCTGGGTTTTGACAACAAACAAGGTAAACAGAATAAGAAGGGAAAGGTGGGTGTGGCTGGATGAGCACACTTCTGGTAACATGGGGGTGTGGCCTAATGTGCTAATGAGTGGTGCTGTCAGGGTGTGGCCTAATAGGCTAATGAGTTTTGCTGTTGGGTGTGGCCTATTATGCTAATGAGTTCCTGCTGGGCTTTTTCTACAAAAAGAGCCCTGCTGGCAACCCTATCCAAGAGTGCATTCTTTATCGATCTATTGAAAGTACTTCTCTGTTGACTTTCTGCCCAACCTTTTGAGGCAGCAGACATGATAAGAAAATTAAAACCTGAGATACCTGGCTGGAGAGGAAACTGGAAAGATGCTGCTGAGGCCCGTCTGGGCTGCATTTGTTTTCTCCTCTGCTTGCAGGAACTTAGCCTACTGGGCATGACCAGAGACGCGGGTCGAGGAGCAAGATCCAAAGAGCTCTCAGCCCAGGGCCTGGAGCCTGCCCAGAATGTATTTTTTTCCTGTTTGTTTTGCTTGTTTAAATTGGTTATTCTGTATTTCTGCAGGACACTTTGGATACCTTTGGGGAGAAAAGTGGCATAGAAATGTCCCCCAAAATAAATAATCTAAAGCATTAAAATTCAGTAAAATAGTTATACATTGCAAAAGGTACCTTCTTGAAGTTCTCTCCCTCTAGCCCTTCCCGTGGCTCTCTACATTTCATCCATTGGGGCAGGATTTCTCCTTACTCTTGGAGTGGCTGAGCAGTTTCCCATCATTTCTCCCCACAGTTTCTACCCTCTGAACGGTCTGCCATATTACA